CTTTCGCAATTACCCACGCTTCAGGCCAACGCCTTGCCCGCAAACTTATCGGAAGACATTGCAGCTCTCAACAAAACCACTCTTAACTCCTTTAAGTTATTGGCCAACGATCTTAAGGATGTGAATAATACCCTAAGTCAAACAACGAAAATGCTCGGCGAGGAAATATCTATGCATAAGGTAATCTCATGCAAATGTTTGCGTTATCAGTACTAATACTTATTATTATTTATTTGGTTTATTGCAGACGAAAATAGACGACCTGTTGGATCGATCGGAGAACATTACGTCCCATGTGGCCACAATAAGTAACAGTTGGCCGGAATACAAGCAGAAGGTAACAGGCTTCGATGAGTCTATAGATAAAATTGAAAAAGAGGTAAGACGAACGCGTTTCCTGTGGCTAGAACTTCAAGATTAATGAAAATTTATTAACCTCAGATAACGCTAACAAACACTAAGAATAGCATGCTTGCTGCTTCCATGGATCAGCTGAAGAGCTTTTGCATTCAGAGCATGGGAAATACTAAACCTCCCAGCAGTGAAGATAGCTCAGTGGTCCCCAAGGTATGTATTTATTTGAATGTCCTACTTTCGTGTTTGTCATTAACTTTTCATCTTTACTCGCAGCCTGAAGCCAATGCGGCCAAGCAGGAATCTATAAAGCCGTCTGCAAATGCCACAGAGAAGTTGCAGCAATCTATGAAGCTGTAAGCAGTTGCATTGTTTTAGGAGATGCCCGTTGTATTACCACATTTGTTCGATTTCGTGTTTAGCCAGTAAGACTGCATGGGTTCCATGTGCAAAAGTCAAAGCCAACGATAACTAAATTACATTTAACACACGAAAGCTGCAATGTACATATGGTTCAAAGAGCTATTTAACTTAATGACGCATTATAGGATGGCGAAGTGCACGTGTGATTTCAGTTAAGTTTACTTTTAAAGCCCGTTTTAGAAAGCGTAATTGTACATAAGGAGTGAAGTAAATTGTAAGTCCAATATTATTCACTTTAGATACACGATATGTATTTTATTTCCATTTAATAAAATCAAACTAAAGCTCACAAAAAAAATGCAAATGCAGTGTTGGAAAAGTTACCAGTTTTTTGAATATAGGTAAGGTACATGGTATTTGTGTAAATAAGTACTTGGATAAGGTAAAAGGTTCACAATTTGTTAAGTAACTACATAGGTAAGGTAAAAGCTACAAAAAGGTAAAAAAGAAAACATCTTTTAATACAATGTTATTTGCTTAATTTAATAATTTTGAGGAGAATTTGTTCTTCACAAAGTTACAGAGGAAATGTGATATTGTGTATACGCCCTGGAAATTAAGACTGCCTGTAGAAACATGTAACTTTTCTTTAATTTGTAGTGATATTATGATATTTTGTATTAACATTTCGGGGAAAACAATACCAAATTCAATTTAGTGGTTTCCAGCTAATTTGAAAACAAAATGGAATAAAAATATTTCAGTACCTGAATAAGCAACAAATCAATTTTTTAAGATAAATAAAAATCTTTACCTGGGTTAGGTAAAGGTAGCCTCATATTTGCTTACCTAGGTACAAGTATATAGGTCCATCCCAACAATGTGCATATGCTATATTGCTAAGACATTTAATTGCATAAACCGAAAGTAAAAATTAAACTTAGATTTAACAGGTTATAATACTATTCATTGTCATATTGATCGCCGAACTCTTCATCATCGTAATCTTCGACATCCTCTGCGGCATAGGCATCCTTTTGCTGTTTCCTCAGCAGCCAGGCCTTGTAGGCTTCCTCCTCCTCCACAGTTGGATCACTGGCCTCGATAAAGTCCTCGGCATCGTGGGGATACTCCTCCTGCACCGTGGGCAAATGCTTGAAGGGAACGTTGCGGGCGTAGTACTTGTGGCCCCAGCCCAAGTATATGGACTCGCAGGTCTTCTCGAAGACAAAGGTGAAGGCACCAGGCCAGATGTTGGATTGCATGAGGAGCATTCGCTCCTTCTGGTTGGTGTACTTGCTGGTCAAGCGGACCAACCACGGAACCGGAACTTCGGCGTTCGTGTCATTGGCACAGGAGGACAGAATACTGGGACCCACTTCGGGTTGATTGAAGCCCTCGATCATGCCCTCCTCTTCGCCCTCATCCTCGTCCTCCTCCTCCTCCTCCTCTTCGTCCTCCTCCTCCTGTTCTTCCTCCATCTCGGCCATCATTTGCATTTTCAAATAGAGAGCCAGGGCCTTTTCCCTCTCCTTCTGGGCCTTCTCCTCGTCGTACCAAACCACTCGACCCTGGACATTGAGGATGTTCGATCTGACATGAACCCAAGCCACTGGAGTGGCCAGAGATCCAAGAGGTTCTGCTTCGTACTTCTCATTCTTCATCAGCATTACGTCGTTATCTGGGAATCAAAGCAAGAAAGCCAAAGTTTCTTAATCTATACTGTGCTGTTGCAGTGAGCTCGAAATACTTTTCAAATGAAAGCAATGAAAAATCAAAGTACCTTTTAAATATAATGTATTTGCTTTGCTTTGCTGAGAAAGTCAGGCAAGTGCTGTGAAAGCATTTTATTTGACTTTGATTTTGCTTTGACCTTTGGAAGCACAAAGCTACATTAACATTTCGAACTTCAAAAGCAAAGCAATTGGGAAGTAAGCATTTCATTTTCAAAACCAATTAGCTTTTAACCAGATTGTTCAGAGTAGGTAACAGTAAAACTAAGTAAAATTATACTCTAAAATTGCTTTTGCAGCAAGTTGCTTTGCTGCTGCTTTGCTTTTGGATTCCAAAACGTTAGCAGCAAAAGCACAATCAAAGCAAAAACATGTAAACCATTTGAGCATTTTCAAAACCTGGTATTAAGATTAGTTCTTAATATGTTGTAGACCTACCTTCTATTTGCCCCTCCTCGCCTTCATTGACCTCCTCCTCCTCTTCTTCCGCCTCCTCCTCCTCCTCGCCCTCGTCGTCCACCTCGCCATCGAACATGCGCTTCTCCTTCTTGGTCATCCGCCTGTAGTAGCCCACAGGCGCTATATAAGTGCTGGCAGTGATGCGACCTATCAGGGCCCGAAGGTAGTGCTTCTCTTTGCCCGGAAAGCAGGGATAGGAAATGACATCCGCCTCCAGATCGCCGGTGAGGAACTTTTTGATGTGCCGGGACACAACGATCTGTCGTGGCGTCACAATGGGCAACTCGATCCAATCGTCGAACAGCGAGTTCACCACGAAATAGGAGTACCTATTGCATCCCTGGCCAATTAACTCCGGTGGAATGTCGTAGTGCTCTATTTCCTCAACCAAGGGAACGGGTGCCGCCTTGGGTCTCATTTTCTCCAGCTCCTCGGACGGATAGTCCTCCCAACCATACATGCCCGGCGTCAATTCCGGACCAATGTGCGCCGGCAAGGGCTTATCCTGCCTGTCCTTTCGCATCTTATATGGAGTCTGTTTCTCCCTCAACTCCTCCTCCATCATGACCAGTCGGGAGGCCACTTCCTCGCGGGTCAGTGAGGCCTCAACTATGTAGTAGGAGGCCTTCAGTCCATTGATGCAACCCCAAAACCTGCACTGCATTATCGAGGGATGGGTCTGCAGACGGTTCATGGCACTGGCCAACTGAAATATGTCATCGTTGCATATGCTAAATCCACACTGTGCCCAATAGAACTGCAATTGCTGGACTCGCTCGTTGAAAGTCACAAAGTAGCGCATGGAATCGTCGATCACCAGGCGAAACTCTTCATTTGTCCTTGCATCTTCGCCGGACATGTCCTCGCCCAACAAATCCTCGCCTTCGATATTATAGGGCAGCTATTAATTATATTACATGGCTAAGATGGTATGGTGCTATCCATAGGTCATGTCTTATACTACCTTCATGGATTGGAGAATTTGCTTGGCCACCCGGAAGGTGCGAACTTCGTCGAAAACACCGCTCGGAGGAAAACGTTCTGGCAAATGGAACTTTTGTTCGCGCACATTCCGGCTAAATTCCTCGAAGAAATCTATCACATTGGGGGGACGCTCGTCTATTACTCTTTTTATGATATCACTTAAGTGATCAAATCTGGTAAGATGGTTATTAAGGTTTTTAAATAAGTAAGGATTACAAAGTTTTAATATATTTAAAAAAAAAGAAAGTCTTTTGCTTAAGTATTCAAATTTAAAAATAAAAAGGAAAGCTATAGTTGAGTGTCTCGACCATTATCAATTTCAAAATAAATATGCCCCGAGTAAAAATTGAGTGGCGCCATCTGCTGGGCTTTGCAAATAACTTCCTAAACAATAGCTCGAGTTATTATATATATATTAATATATGAACTAAAACAGGCATTTCGAATCTGCACGTGGAATCCCAGTAGCAATATTGTTTTCATATTGTAAATATACCCTATTTAATAGTATCGTACTCACAAGTTGTCGCCACTGAGAGTGCTGTATTTCTGCAATATGGACTTGGCCACATTCAATTCATAGCCAATATTCGGGGCCTCGGGAACCGTTGCCTTATGGAGCTTGCATTCCGAATCGAAGGCGCCTACGGATATGGTGGACGTTGAGGACGTGGATGACGAAGTGATTACATTGGAGCAGTGTGGAGAGGTTTCCTCGCCGCACTTTTCAGCCTCAACCTTTTCCGGTTTCTTTCTTTTGGGATTGCAGACCGGCGGAAGAGCAAATTGCGAACTGGACGTAGAGTCTAATGAGAAATTTTGGTAAGAATCCTTGTCCATCTTAATATGAAAATGGAACTCTGATTGGTAAGCGTTAAAAACGTGTGTTTCGGTTGACTTGACAGAACTTAATAATTGTGGGTGTATTTGACAATCTATTAAAACAGCCTATTTCGTTTATTTTATTTTTTAAATAAATACGTTTTAAATTTTAAATTTATTTCAAGCTGAGCGCTCACTATCGTTATCGATCGACTGATTTTGTAGAGAGTCTTCGGTCGTTACCTTTTACAACCTTTATGAGAATTGCTTGTATCTGTGTGCGTGTTGTTTACATTACAACTGATTCTCAGTTTCTTATTTGCAAAAAGAAAGTGTCTAAGAAAGTTGTTATTTGTTATTAGAGCTCCAAACGTACTTGTTTTTAAAATTGTAAATTAATTGTAAAGCAGTTTATTTGGTTATGCTGAAATCAAATGGCGCCAGTTCTGTGTATTTACATTCAAAGACATAAATCACAGTCTTAAATTTTTACTTTTGTTTTACTATTGAAAAGAGGTAAATAAAGCTGGTGAAGTGTAGAACCTATTATTTTTTTAAGTTTATATCAAAAAATTATACTTTTTGTACAATGTATGACTTTTTAGTAGTGTAATTTCTGATAGATTGTTTAAAATACAAATTTGGGAGGGGCATTTCAATTAACTTTCTTAAGTGTTTCTAGCTCACAAGATGTACTATCTAAACAACGAGACTGCCGCTCTTCCTTCGACGGTTAATTTTGCACAAAGGGAGGCACACTCATCTACTTTAGAGCTAAAGACTGTATCCATAAATCCAGATGGTGAGTACCTACTGAAATCATTTCACCCATTTCCCCCATTTCTGCGTGTCTAAAAACTCTTTCCACAGACACTTACACTGTTCAGCAGGCGATCAATGCCTTCGGTTTCGGTTGGTTTCACGTCAAGTTGTCGCTTCTGGTGGGTCTCTGCTGGATGTCCGACTCCATGGAGATGGCCATCTTGAGCATCCTCGGTCCAGCTCTATTCTGTGAGTGGAATGTCACAAAACTCCAACAGGCCTCGGTCACAACCATTGTGTTTTTGGGCATGATGCTGAGTTCCAGTTTTTGGACACAACTAAGCAATAGATATGGTCGAAAGTCGGTAGGTTTTATCAGTTTTAATAGTAGATACATCAAATTATTCAATTATTTTTCAGGCCCTCACTTTATTTGGAGTATTATTAGTCTTATATAGCATACTAAGTTCAGTGGCTCCCAGTTATGCCTGGCTTTTAACCCTCAGAGGGCTGGTGGGTTTTGCAATTGGCTGCGTTCCACAATCGTGAGTAATTGTAATTCCATTGGCTAAGTAATGCTGCACCTGATAAACTTTCTTTAACCCAAAAGGGTCACCTTATATGCGGAGTTTCTGCCCACCAAACACAAGGGAAAGTGCGTGGTGCTAATGGATGTGAGTACTTACATAAAGTTGCGGTCAAAATAATAGTGTAATTGTGTACTACAATTTAAAGTAACCATAACACATACCTAAGAATAGAACAAGTTTTCATTTAATTAATCATAGTGCATACTTAACAATAAAACTGTTAATAAAGATTAGTAAATGTTTCTATAACAATTTATTAATATAAACAAAAATTGTCCTTCTTCTGCACTTTGTATTGGAATAAAAATTATTTTAATTTCTGATCTACTTTTTAAATTAAAAATTTAAAAACTTTTTTTTAATCATTTCCATTTTTATTTAGCTTATATTTTAGTATTAGCTTCCCAAAAATATAAAACAAATTTAAAATGTGGCTTTCAAACTGTGCTACTTCCATTAGCTAAAAAACTACTATTATTTTGACCACAGCTGTATATATATATTTACATTCCTCTTTTTAATGAAACTCTAAATTTCTTTCAGTGTTTCTGGGCCTTGGGAGCTTGCTTCGAAGTTGTTCTAGCCCTAGTTGTCTATCCTTACTATGGATGGCGTGGACTTTTGGCTCTTTCAGCAACGCCTCTATTAATTTTTACACTTTTATCACCGGTAAGGATAACTATTTGTTTTTAGGTAACTTATTTTAAAGACAGTTTAATCGATATGCAGTGGCTTAGTGAATCAGCACGCTATTACTCTTACAATGGGCATAATGACAAAGCCATCAAGGTTTTGGAACAGGTAAGTAATAATACAATTTCAATATATATATATTCCTTGAGACTCTCTGATTTCAGATAGCTCATAATAACAAAAGACATATGCTGATGGGTCGCTTGATGGCCGATGAGGAACCGAGTTCTACGGAGAGTTTCAGATCGCTACTCAGTTCGAACCTATATCGCACCACTATACTGCTGTGGTTTATATGGCTGGCTTCGGCCTTCTGTTACTACGGATTGGTGCTGGTCACAACCGAGCTTCTGGTGGCCAGAAACAAGGAGAATAACCCAAATGAGTGCGTTACCTTTATGACGTCCGACTTCATGGATCTGCTGTGGATTACGCTGTCGGAATTTCCGGGCATACTAATAACAATCAAGGTTATCAAACTATTTGGCAAGAAGAGAACCATTGTTCTGCAATATCTGGTTCTTGTACTCTGCACTTTGGTGTTGATGTCGGTTACAAGGTAGGGTAACTGGAGTTCTAGATATATTAAATTTTAATATAAATCTTTTCTAGTCGCTTTTCTACGTCCGTAACGCTTTTCATTGCCCGTGGAACGATATCTGGTATTTTCCAGGCTATATATGTGTACACTCCGGAAATATACCCCGCCGCTTTGAGATCCGTGGGCGTTTCGGGATGTTCCGTGTTGGCCAGACTTGGTGCTATGCTAACCCCCTTTGTGGCCCAAGTTTTGATGGATTCATCCAAGGTTCAAGCTATGTCCACCTATGCGTTCGTTGGCTTACTGGCCTCCATTGCCTGCGCTTTTCTGCCCAGAGAGAATGTTGGCTATCATTAAATATTTATATATAAATTATTATTATTATTAAAGACTTTAATCGAATAGGTTTGCCTAGTTTTAGGCTTCGTCTAAGTTTTTGTATAGAATTGCATTGTTTGCTGGTGGTGAAAACTAAAATAAGATGTTCGTTTTAGTGTTTTTTCGAAAAGTAACAAAGCTTCGAAGCGGAAAGCTTTTGATTTAAATATGATAATTGAATTTGAGATTTAAGAAGCTGTTAAAACCCGATTACCCTTCAGTTTAATTACGTTATAAATCCATTATAGTGACCAGGTCTGAACTTTGTAAAGCCAATTTTCATTTTATTTTATACGCCTTTCGGCGCTTGGCATCATTTATGATTCAAGTGACAGGAGGAAATGCACTGGCAAATTAATTACAAAAGTCATTATTTCACAACATAAACATAACGTAGGGGCACGTATAAATTCATTTTGCCTATATATTATAATACTTAATTAAATATGTGTGCTGGCGCACTCTTGGGTGCTGAAATATATCTGCACTCCTGTGACAGCTATAAACTTTTAGAATGTTTGCTTGTATTCAAGTAGACGAGAATCTAAGCACATGGCTATGCACATGCACATGCAGACTCAGATTCAGATTCAGATTCGAAATTCAGATGCCCGAGGTGCATGTGCATTATTTTTAAATTGTGAAACGATTTTTTCGAGGGGAGCTTTTGTTGTGATCAGCGAATATCGATCAGTCGTACAGTTGTCGGGATGCAGTTAAAATCACTGGTATCCGCACGCAGTAGATAGTATTTTTCACGCGACGGAAGTTTAAATTTAAACCTATTCCACTTTTGAATTCGACTGGCCCCCTCGCAAAAATTCTTCGACAATTATAATTATTATGACAAACGAATACGCGAGTGCCTGAAAGTTTAGTGTTTCGAAAATCGATATTTGGGCCCAATCATGCCACAAATCCTGTACAAATAATTTCAAATAAAATTCGAAATTGCTCTCAGTAACAAGTTATGCAATACGTTTTCGAATACGTACCAATGTGCGTACATTAATGAAGTGTGCAAAGTTAATCGAGTGACACGGAATCAATCTAATCAGCCGAAATGGATGCCGTAAGTTATGCGTGTCCATAAAATACACACATAAATCGGTGTATGAACATGTGCCAAATTTACTTATTAATACATTTGTGCAACCAGATGTACATACAAAGAAATATACAGTGATGTCCTTGCTAAAAAGTTAACTTAAGTTGAGTTTTTCGCATCTTTCAAGAGCTGAAAATCTTTTAAGTGATTCGGTAAAAAAATATAAATATAAATAATTATATAACATAATTAAAAGTGTAATACAAAACATTTCTTTCAAAATTTTACAATAATAATAAAGTTATGCAAATTTATTAAATTAAACTAATTTCATTTTATGTATTGCTTAAATCTCTTCCGGATTATATGATATCATTTTTTATGAAGACATAGGTGACTGAAAAAGTGTAAAGAACTTATATCATCTAAACATAAAACTATGGCTATGCTAAAAAATTAACTGAAATTAAGTTAAGTTCTTCGAGTCTTGAAAATATTTTAAGTGATTCGGTTAAAAATATGAACATTAATAACAAAAAATATATTAAAAAAGTGAAATGCAAATAGTGATTATCATGAAGTGCATAATACTCATAAAGATATTCAAATATCTTAAAACTAATTATATTCTATGTAGTGCTAAAATATATTATAACAGGACATAATTTTTTATAAAAATATTACTGGCTGAAAAATTGAAACAAAAATTATCATCTTTTAAAATATGAAACTTTAACTATATGCTGTTCATAAGTAATATAAAAACTATTTTTCAAAAAGATTTTAGTGATAAAAAAATTTAAAATATATTCAAAAATCTAATCGAACAAATTAACCATAAAAATACAAAGAAAATATTTTCTTTTTAAAAACAATATAACTGATTTAAAGAATTAAACAATTCTACATGGACGATTTTACTGTGGTTTCGGATCATTGGCCCGAAGTGAAGAACCCTGTCCGAGGGAGAAATCAGCTGTTTGGGCTGCACGAGCTTTGCACTCAGTAAAATTGGACATCGAAATAAATAGCCGAGCCCGCGTGTCTATGTCAACGCAAAATAGACTTTCAGCTAACGAGCTAAATATTGCACAGCCACTTTTTGTTTGTGTACGCTGAATCTGAATGTGTTATGAGAACAAATCGATAAATCTTGCTGATCATTGAGAAATATCGGATGTGTTTGATAAATTGCATATAGCCATCCGGATTGTGAATTCTATCTCAACAAATTTCGAAATATAAAAATGGCCGACAAAAATGTGTGTGTGACTAAATGTTACAACATTAAAGATATTTAGATTATAGATCTTCGATATCGGTTTTACTCAACAGGTTGCGGATATTGTATTCGTGAACAGGGACTATCAGGCTCAATCGATGGCCACCGACGAGATCAGCGTTTCTCGGGGGGATTTGGTCGAACTGATAAGTTCAAAAGCTTCCGAAAAATCAAGGTACGTTGTGGGAGCCAAAGAAAACCTACTTTCTTGATATGACTAAGTCTATTAGCCATAAGAACAAGTGATAAGATCTTACCACCTTTCAGATGCTTTGTTAGAATGTTCGATAGTGGGGACTCCCCCAAGGAAGGCTGGGTACCCATAGAAATACTTGAGTTTAACCCCACAATGAGTAGCTCGAATGGCAAAGAGACTGACGATGCGGAATTTAAAAAACTGTAAGGATTTGTTTTAAATCGCTGAAGAAAACATAATGCTAGCCTATTAATGGTTATTATAGAACTATACTCAGGGAACTGGTGGAAACTGAGGAGGAATTCTCCAGGGATCTGCTACATGTGGTAGAAAAGTACATAAAGGGTATTGACAAGCCGGTAGTGCCAAGATCTGTGCGGGACAATAAGGATATTATTTTCTGTAATTTCCTACAAATTGCTGAATTTCACAACAAGTAAGGACACTTAGATATTATGCATTAGATAGCCATAAAAACACTTGCAATTTCAGCGTATTGAAGGAGGGCCTAAAGTGCTACAGCAATCAGCCAAACATGGTGGCCAAAACCTTTCTACGATTGGAAAGGGATTTTGATAAACATGTTGTCTACTGCCAAAATGAGCCTTTGGCGCAGGACTACTTGACCTCGAGTCCCGATGCTAAAAAGTACTTTCAAGTAAGTATTGAAATTTATAGGGCAATATGCCAAAGCAAATGTTTTTCCCTTATTTATTATAATTGTGGGTTGAAATCAAAAATAATAGAGAATTGTATAAATTTGAAGCTGAGCAAACGTTGGAATCGTCTTCAAATATTATGCGTATGCTATGTGCGAGAATATCAGTTTATTTTTAAAGGCAGACGCTTTTCAATTCTAAAGCTTTTGCAGTTTTCAGTTGCTTCCGAGTAGTGTTCGCGGTCGTGTCGTGCTAATTATTCATATACGTAACCGTTTCGCTTTAGGTACTTGAAGTTGTCTAGTCGTTAATTGGTTAAACCCTTATTTTGACCCAGATTCCCCAAATAACCTTCGACTTTAAGTTTAAAGACTGTGCAATCATTTAAAATACTCTCTTCACTCATCGATATCCGGTCGTACGTTGGATAACTCTAGAACGGAGCAATTTATTTTGCTGGAAAAAAATAATTTTTCAAATAAATCTGTGAATATTTGTGACGTTTGCCCGTTATGCAACATTTCCGAAATTTTACTGTGCGAGAGTATATTTATTAAAAGATACGCTAATACGTATACATTTATAAATATATAGATGTGAACAATTTTTTCTTCAGCCCACATATTTCGACCTCACGTCTAAAAGTGTTTAAATATATACTGGCAAAAATATTGTAACATTGACTTTAATGAGTTCATTTCTACTCGTTCATTTGGAAATTGGTTCAGCAGTGAATATTCGTAGTTGGTGAATATGAACATGACGGCGCATAGAGTGAATAAAAATGTCTGAACAAACATTTGAATACTAATATTGGAATATGTATTTGGTATATAGCTTTCCAAACCAAAGTACACGCATATAGAAAATCATTCACCGACGCACGCACACAAATCCGTTTTTGCAACAAGTGATAAATTTTTAAACATCGTTCCAAAAATAACCCCAAAAGAGAGAAAGAGAGATCGAGAAATCGTGTTTCGAATGTATATGTTCGTTAGACGGGGCGCAAATTCAAATTCAAATTCAAGCGGATGCAGAAAACCACCAAATCTGCTACTAACAATAAATATTATTATTTCATTGCCCAATACATTCGAATTTTGGAGAAAAAGGCCTACAGTCCAGTGACCTTGCAGTGCTCGAAAACATACAACTGCAAATACCTGTACTAAAACACCTGTTCATTTTTGCTTTGCAGGAACTTTCAAAACAGCTTGGAGACGACAAATCTCTTTCAGAACACCTCAAACTGCCCATCCAGAGAATAAACGACTATAAACTTCTGTTCAAGGTTTGGCGACATATGTATACCCATGTATTCCCGTGTTCAGTGTTTATCTGCAAACTCTTTAATGACTTTTATCTTTGATCACTTAACCCGAGCTATGTTTAAGCTAATCACCATGCGCCTTGCTAAAGACCTCAATTAATGTTTGTTTTCGCAGGACTTCATTAAGTACTCGCTAAGCTTGAAAGAAAACGTTAAAGACTTGGATCGGGCCTTAGAGTTAATGCTTAGTGTGCCCAGTAGAGCGTACGACAATAGGTTTCTTTCCAGCATCGAGGGCTGTCGGGGTAACATCTACAAATTGGGTCGCCTGCTCCTCCACGACTGGTGCAACGTGGTCGACAAGGAGGGCAAGTCGCACGACCGCTACTGCTTCCTGTTCAAGTCGCGCATTCTGGTGACCAAGGTCCGCAAGATATCCGAGAACAGATCCGTGTTCATATTGCAAAACATCGTAAAGCTTCCACTGTGCAACATCGAGCACAGGGCCGACGAGAAACAAATCCAACTGAGCCTGAAGTCACCAGAGGCCAGCTCCTTCTTACCCATAAATATTAAGCCCCACGGGCCAGACTCTCACTTGACCT